TTTGAAGTTTCATCTGGCTGTCTATCGACCACTAGTTCTGCTTGATGTGAGTGCTATCCAACTGTTCATCTGAATTAATGAGTAGCACATTGGATCATGCCTTTAGGAGAGAACTTGAATAATACAACTTTTCTAGAAGAATGATGAAGGACTGAGTGTTGTGTCAGCATTTAGCAAATAGGATAATCTCACCTGGTGGAGTCGAGTCATTATTCCTAGGTATAATTAAGGACCAGCTAAACATTCTTAGTATCCAAGACGTTTATTTTCTGAAATGGTTCTCTGTGGAATTCACAGCTTCTTCAGGAGTTTAATTAGTCAGATATTTTTAAACTTCTCACGTTACGGAAAGCAGGTCGAAGATTTCTATCAACAGTGACTCACTTCATTCCATATTTAGGGGCAAATTGACGGCCAGAAATAATCAGCAACAAGAAATTATTGGAACACACCAATCAAGTGTCTATCACCTAAGACATATATGTAACAAAATGCAGGTAGTGGGTAGGAAAGACACACGCCAAGGGGACCGTTGAATGATATCGAGCAACATACCAGTGATGCTCAAGTGGAACCAAACAGGAAACAACCAGTTGATTGTGGAACCGAGAATGACGTAAAGGGGATCAGGGATTCTAAAGTGAATTCTAAAGTGAAAAGAATAGGATTCTGTGAATACAATAACAAGTGTGAAATATATAACGTCAATTGAGGATAACAGATTTAGTTGGAAAAGTCAAATAGACTGATTAGGGCTTGTAAAGGCAGTTTGTGGATAAAAGAAGAAGCGGAGTGTGGAGAGATAAATGAGGTAGAAAGTTAAAGTGTTGATTGTCATTGGTTCAATAGACGCCATTTTTTACCTTTTGGTACACACTGCTCAAAACTCCTATTATATAGGGTTTTTGTTCCCAATGATGGAGAGAAATTTGTTGTGAAACCTCCGCTAACACAAAGCTGTACAGATGTGGTATCAAGTTTGAACGTCTGGACTGGATGATGTGACATTGTTATCCTCATTGACGCAACACGTCTGCGTATTTGACGAAATTTCACGTATTCCTCTATGTTATAACCATGGTGCGTATCTTTTTGCAGTTGAAACCTATGCACCTAATGTTTGATGGCTTTGGTTTCATGAATATGTGGATGTGATATCTGCAGGATTCACAAAATCATGTTCACGAGACAAAAATTTGATTTTGTATTCTTTCTCAGCTACACATTTGCAATACTTTCGTTAAAGTGAACGTATTCAGCGTGAAGTTAATCTGCCTCTTACTTGGATGGACTGCAAGTAATTTCGACGAGAGGACAACGCCTTAACTGTATGGATGTTCCGGAGTTGGTCTTGAAATTCGCACATAATCCTCTAATACTGAAGAACATCTGAGGACTGTTTATGCCTATGGCGTCAAAAATAACGTCAGGAGTGGACGGTTAATCGTTGGAGTTTGACTTAGTATTAATAGGATCAATGTTTCCACTTTGTATACCGAAGTGCACAATTATCCTGCATAACTTCACATTGTGCTAGTCCTTACATTCGCTCTGTTGTTTTAGGTATATGGAGGTTGTCGAATATGAAATCGGAGAATGTGTCAATCGGTGAAACTAACGCTAATCCCTTCCATCAGAATTTTCTTCTGTAAGTGAATAAAATGTCTACTCTACAAACTCGTGATTGCCACCTCTTCTGAACGGCCTGAAAACGTCACTTAACCTTGGGCTATCGCAACGCGTGAAGTTGGATCAATGCATGTCAAACTTGTTTAGGTGGACGAAGACTTGCATCAGTATTGTGAGTGCTGCTTTAGTCATTCTTAGTCATTCATTGCTACTGTTTTTATGCAAAATCACATTTTAAAACTAAGTGGGATTTAACAAATTGAATAATGATTCCGTACTGCTAGATGCCCAGAGTCGCATTACTTAGCCAGTTGCATATCTGCAAAATACTAGACGGCTGTTACCTGACATCGTGAGGGCAAGCGGAGCAATTTAATGTCAATACTTGCTTCATTAATCTGTTAATTTTCAGTAGCATCATCAGATTACAGACTGTTCATTTGATAATGAACTGAGGAACTAGTTTCGTTTCTTCCTATTGTGCGGTTGATATTAATTAATATCCAGTGTCTTTGTGATCAATAACTGAAATATTTTGATGTCTAGGCTGCTTAGTTCTGTGAGACATTATCTGAAGCCACGTGTCTATCTATCTATCCTAAAATAGTTTTCGCTGAAAGTAATCTCCTCCAGCTGCCACCTTAGTGAGAAACTCAATGTAGTTTGAATTATAAGGTAGAAGTGGACATCCAGAGGACCTGCTTGGTGAAAGGATTGTCTTCCAGTCAAAGAAAGTAAATGTATCCACGTTGCCACGAAAGCATTTAGAGGTGTTTATCCTATCACCATCATGATAACAAGCATAAATAAATTTACCTCTTCTTCTTTTTCAGAAAGAAACACCGATGTGGCTTAACTAGAGTCGGAGGAATGCGTCAGTTCAAAACCCGGTGGTCACTGAACACTTTTAGCCTAGCTCTTCCTTTTTGTATATCTTTGACTTCTTCTGCTATTGATTCGGTTGGTAATTATATGGTGCTTCGAGCAGAGTTAATGTTCTGCTTTTCACGTCTCACCGCAGCGTGCTTGATATATCTATAATTGTCTGTGCTGTTCTACTACGTAGCAAGTCTACGGAAATCGTTTAAATCAAAGCGAGAGATGAAGAGCTTGGAATCTGCCGGTACGGCTTGCAACCATGATCAGAAAGACAATACCAGAGCGTCACCGGAGATGTCATCAACCCCACCGACAACGTCGACCTACACGCCTGCTTCAGACATGATTCAAGCAATGGTCGCAGCCTTCCGAATAGCGTTGATGACTACTGACAAACTAGCACAGTCCTTCGGTACCAAACCAATAGTTAAATTCCCTGCACGGGAAACTTTGTTCCCGGGAAATCGTTCACCTCGTGGGAGGAACAATCTCACCGCCAAATTCAGTAGTTTGACGAAGTCCAAAGAACTAGCGCTATTGTCTGCTTGCTGTCGATACCTACACTGAAACGCCTTAAGCTAGCTAACGTTGACGCTGACCAGACGATGGGATTTGAAGGCTTTTCACATCCATGCGTCGAGAATTTGTGCCGCATACCCATGTTCTCGGGCGGTGGACTGCATTTCACGCGTGTCCAACGAAGTGGCGAAAGTACAGAGAAGTTCCTCTGGCGCCTTGCCTTCAAGAGCTGGCTCCTGTGGCTTTTGAAGGAGATCCAGCAGCAGAGATTAGCTTCCGTATTCTTCATCGGTTCGAGGAGGGGTTGATGCACTATGGAGTGAGAGAACGGATTATCGAAATAATCCTACATTGTCCAGATAGACCCGCAGGTAGCTAAACAGAAAGAGGCCCAAATAAGCTTTGTAGGAACTAACAACCAACAAAAGGGTCCTATATTCTGTCACAGCCTCGAAAATTGACTCAACCTCGCGAGCATCTTGCATTGCAACATACACCCGATGAGTGGAGGTCTCGAAAGTTTCCCCGACGTTCTTCGAAAGCGAGAAAAACCCTCAATCAATCACGTCCAACAGCGGGCTTGACGAACTTTCGGTTTTCAGAAGAAATTAGTGAGTCGTCCCTGTTGTACCTAATGTTATGCAAGTATCAGAGGGTCCATATATAGCCAAGCAGCTGCCGATTGACTTAGTTAAATTTCATGACAGATCTCTCACCGGCTTGTTAGACACAAGTGCAGCTCGCACGTCGTTGTCCAGGAGACAATGTGATGATATAGTCATGACTGCCACCCGTCACCTAAACATTCAAGCGGCTACTGAGTCTCGAATGAAAGTGGCTGGCGAGGTGCTAGTATTGTGAGAAGGTAACCACGTTCGCAAGTGACATCCCTGTTTAGTAATTAATGGATTGTCATTGGATTTGATAATAGGCTGTGACCTCCTACGCAGTTGCAACGCTTCAATCGATAATGAATCCGAAATTATCACTATACTGGGATCTACAATACTATTCGGACTGATTGCCCACAGACACATGATTTCGAATGTTGATGACTGATTTCGAATCCTTTCATATTCAAGACCGTCAAGCTGATCACAAAGTTTAATAACACTGAATATTGGTCAGAGACGACATCTGCTACAACTCCAGTTTACTCAAATCTTTATAAGACCCAACTGATTTTCGGTGTCCCTAACTGGTGAAACCTATGTCGTGTTGTGCGCATCTTGGTGCCTAAACACGCTGCCTCCAATCAACAAATCACTGAATTATCTGAAGTATTTGTCCATGAGAAACAAATAGAAATAGCATGAATGTCTACTGTTTGAAACCACCATTTCCATGTGCTCTAGCCATTCACCAAGTCTGTCGAACACCCTTCAACTGACTGATCAAAATTCATTCCTCACACTGAATCCTTCCCCATTGGGAATACTCATCGTCTCCATCTATTTCACACTATCTTTGTATGTACAGTCAACTACTCACCACATTTGTCACAGAAATACCGCTTATTTCGTCAGCCTATATCTAGTGCGTTATTCTAGGTGAAAAACGTGTGTATCCGTCACATAACCAGGTGTTATTGTTAACGTATAACAACTATAACAGCCTGAAGGGAATACTTTGAAGAGTCTATTTCTTGTTCCGACCGTCTGATAACACAAGAATAAGTTATTACAGTAGAGTGAAGAAATTTTTAATATGAAATGATGCCAACGTTTACCTTATCTGTCTGACTAATTACACTTTCTTTGAAGAAAACTAACTACATTCCGTGATAAAGTTCAATTTATTTAATTAGTGATAATCACGCCATGACTACGTGGATATCAGTAATTGAAAATGTTTGGAAATGTTGCGATATCTTCACTATTTTCATTTGTCGATTTGAATCTTTAGAATAAATTTTTGTATAAATACATCAGATTTCAAGCTACTACACATTATCATGGCGTTCGCTTTCCTATCAATAGAAATCTCTTCGTTCCTCCTTCTCCTGAGTTTATCTCTACTGACGGGTAAGCGCTACTCAATTTCTTTCTGTACATATTGCATTCATATTTTGTACCTGACTTAAAAGTAGAGAACTCACATGGTAGAACTGCTTTTAGAGTATTTGATGATCGATGATTTGTGCAAACTTATGAACCATTGCATTCGACCAGATCTATCAGGCGTCGATGTGAATATCATTTTCTGATGAACTTGAGGTACAGACGACATGACAACCCAATCTAGTCATTTTTCTGACACATACCGATAACACGAATTCGCATACACTTCATGCATTTCTATTGCACAAATTGTGTGCATTGATGATTTCAGTTTCACGATTACAAACTGACATTAAGTCGCATCAATTTGAAACTCCTACTCAGTGCAGATTGAGTGCACAAGATAAGCATTTACGTGGTCTCCTTACAAAATGATAGATGAGTGATTCTCCCTCACTGTCGATCAATTGATTCGTGCGATTAAATATACTCACTTGCACATATTATCAATAAATCAATGAATTAATTATTTCTCCTTTTCTGAAGCTAATCTGCCGCCTCGGCTTCGAAGTGAGTCATTTCACAGTGAACGGTAATTTAAGCTTTCATGTTGGCCTTAGTCTACTATAGTCCAATTGTGTCTGACTTGTAAACTTTTTTGAAATGTGAAGTTGCCTGTCGAATATCCAGTCAACTCAGGAATCAATATTCGGTAATTCTACAATGTCCCACTTTCGAATACTGCTCTCCACAATTAGTAGTTGTCGGCTAATTCTGGGTTATTATCGACTAGTCTGGTGGTGAGACATCATGTAAATTCTGCTGCAAAGAAATGCAGTGAGTGAAACAACTTCATCTAATCCAGCAGGATATTGGTGGTGGACTCTGGGAATCTGCACTATGTGGATATGTAGAAATCGACTTCATCATTTCATGTTTCCAAACGGTGTAAAGCGAAATTCTCAATGTATTCACATTGTGTAGGCGATGATGGTGCGAAGCTACTCAGTTCCCATCTGTGATAGTTAACGCCTAAATGAGGAGGCTTGACAATCAAGATTTTCTAGTAGAACAGCAATTACTTCTTGTGTAGTGAGTGAGAGGATATTTCAAGCAGTATCCTTCCATATTGTCGAGTGAAATATTCTCTTCAATACGCTACTAATTGGACATTTCAACCAGTATTATTCATTCTCATAGAATGGGAAACATGCTGACACACATTTTCTCTGTGTCGCTCATTCTTGAAACTGAACAAGTCATGACATGAAACCAAGATTAATCGAATGAGTTGACACTCAGCTTTCTTGTTTTGAAGATGGGCCTCGTCTTACTCGCGTATTGAACAATTTAGACCGTGCCATCATCACTTTTGAAGGTAAGCGAATTCTTTTCAATATACTTCAATATTTCATGCATTAGCCCAACATTTGATATAGTAGTAACTTCTAGGTTCATTGAATGAATTTCCATTTTCATTTGTGGAATGATTTATCGTATTCTCTCTCTCCGAATTCACAATCATCTGAGTTGGAGGTGGTTGACGGAAGCATATACAGCATGTAACACTGGAAGCCTTTGTGAATGCAGACGAATTCAGCGTGACTGATGAACAGATTTGACATTTGCCATCATTCCTATAGACATCGTCAATTCATTTGTGAACATTTGCGATTGTTTTACAGGACAATTAATAGACGCGAATAACAGGAAAGCCACTGCGGAAGAACAAGCGAATACATTGGAAGGTGATTTTACAAGCCTGCTTTTACTTACCATGTGTACTTTGTATGTTATTTCTTAATTTGTTGTGTCGGTGATGCTTCGATTCAATGGTCTGCGTGTGGTAATTTAACTCTGTGATAGTATTATTATTATTAGTAGTAGTAGTAATATATAGTTGAAAATAATGTGATTGTTGGACATATGAGGGAGTACAATAGGTTTATTCACTGTGTGATGTTTCGGAGGAAATTTATTATTCACAATGATATCACTTGCAGCTACAATATCACTAAGTCCCACACTTAGTCTCCACTTTCTTCCTGTCCTAATCTTTCAACAAATGTGGAGGGTTCACAGCCTCCAGTTATGTCTCCTACTAAGAATGATAGTGGTGTGATCAAGATTTACAACCAGTGATTCGATGACAGTCACAATATAACAAATAACAATTTCACGATGTTTCGTACAAACCTTTTGTTTCTTGAACTGAATGTGTGGTAATGCATCACTAGTCGCTGGAGGATGTTAGATACTTTGTACAGGAACATGCAGTAAATAATTGTCGAATGCAGTTCAAATTAGTGTAAACACCACTATCTAGGCATCAGTGGAGACAGAGTACTGGTGATTTCATTCTACCGTTTGTTTAGTCATGACTCATTATTTCGATATTTGAGAAGGGAGCAATATTGACTACACTCTCTTCCATGTCTTGCAGTCATGATTTATATTGCACGAGATAACAGACTGTTTGTCTCCTCCCCACTCCAGATCGCTTGCGAACACAGGCTAGAGAATCGGGAAGAAGTATCACTAATTGTAAGTCAACAAATTCAATCAATATTGAGAAATAATCCTTCTTTTAGTTGTCACTTGTCTATACAGTACATCTGGAAACTACTACCAACCGGAAATTTACAGAAGTACGTGGAATGTTTGTTGTTTATCTTCAAACTGTAAACAAAGTGACCAGACTATTGAAATCCCTCGTTGATGAATAGACTTTCAATGAACGCCACTAGTGAATATCACACAGATATGTGAAGGTTGTCGTCCAGTTGTTTAAACAATATGTCTGAATAATGTCGTCTATTGAATTTGAGTATCTGATGGTTAGGAATTTAGCACCTTCCATTATCCCGTTTGCTGTCTATCTTCAAATTGTCGTGTATTCATTTGTTCTGACAGACATTTCACAGACCATCAGAGAGGTACAGCAGTCATATGGTAAGTACGCCTTCCTACTTCATAACACATAGTGTTTGATGTTGTTCACCTTGCGTTTCAATCGGCGAGTTGTCGGGACTGATTTTCGAAAGCGATTCAATTGAGTCACTCTACCGACACTCTACGTGTGTCAGACTGTTATCAGCTGCTTGAGGTGATCATCACATATTTCACTATCAATCACTTGGATAAAAACAGGATGACAGAGTAAAAGCGTATTTACCATTTTATCCAATCTACGCGAAATGATACGTAACGGTGAAAGATGTTGATTTATTCACTGAAAAACCTGAACTCGAGGCAAATAATATTTGGCAGGTTTGGAGACAATCATGAAATCATCCATTGAATTTGGGCCATCCGATCAATGTGACGTGTGATATTCAAACTCTGGGTCGATGAATATTCTCTTCTTTTTGCGTTTTATCCACGGAATTACTTCTACATATCTGAGAGTAGAACTCTCTGGAGGGAATCGCTACTCCATGGATCTGAATGTAAGCATTGATATTATTGGTTGTGCAGGTTAGCTTCACTTCTGCTTACAGTTTCCCATTCTTCTTAATACGTCAAACGTATTTAAATGGTAATTTTGTCATTGTAGATAGCTCAAGCGTGTGACTGAAAGACAGATGTGTTTATCCGTTAGATATTTGAATGGGTGAATGAATTCGTCAATCACTGGACAACAGATGACACCAATTAGTGATTCCGCATACGTCTATTGTCATTTTGTGATCCAGTGTCTGTGTGTTGAGACTCCGTTGGATTATGAGACTGTCGAAAACACAACAAGTGATTACTCACCAATGCTACGCATTACAATCGCTTTGTGAATGACGATGTCATTTTGAATAGTTGATGCTCATCCACTCCATGTGTTCAGAGGTGAATTGAGACCAACTGAGATCTAGTCAGTAATAGTGTGCACATCGCGTAATCCAAAGATGGGAAGTTCACTGACACATGGTTAACCCCTATGAAGATTCAGAACTTCAAGTATCTCTCTCTGAAGATCCGTCACTCATTGCTTACTCACCGAGAATAAATTTCACTGTATCCGCAGGTTGGCGAAATTCACAACCTACACGTGCACATATTTTTGATGTTATAATAAACTGGTGATATGTTTGTATGTGTTGACCTGTGTGTATTTCAGCCGGACCAAGCCGTAAGTCAAATCACACAATACCTACTGGTGATCTGTAATACTAAGCATGTTCACCATGTTCATTGTATCCAACGAAATGCTGTCAACAAAATCCTTTCTACTTGAACAGGTAACGGACAACAGCCGGATTTAAGTGAATGTGATAGTCTTCTGACGATTAATCGCACTGAAGGTAATTCGAAACATGTCATTGCTTTGTGGAAGATTATCTAGTCAGTTTTATCTCTATTATTTCGCAGTCAGATGTAAATCAATTCATCCAACTGAGTAACAATTAATAGTGAGTGTCATACCACGTTTTTCGTAAACGACGAAGCTACTCTCTGCAAAGAGAAAGTCTACTTCCTTGCAAATACTTTGATGATTCTACATACAGAGAGTGCACTTTCCACTGACTGTATTTCTAGGGTTGTATTACTAATAATGTTATTGTTCCCTTGGATTTCAAGTTGGACATGTGGCTTCACCAGCACATCTCCACTTCGTTCTCTTCTCTTCGGTTTTATTCAGATGGCCTCAAGATCGCCGATGTGCTCTCATCCGCTCCCAACGTGAATTGTTCACTTTCTCCACCCTCGAGGATGCACCCTACTCGTCGATTCCTACTCAGGTTCTGCTGAAAGGTTTCAATTGAAATGTAAATATTTACTCGGTCGATGTTAGCGTCTTCGGAATTTGCAATGCCTTCTGCAGTCCTCATCTGTCCACAAGTCATCATGCCTCTACATGATATGTGCTTGACCTTTGCTTTCCATTCCAGAAATTAATGAGTTCACTCAACGGGTAACAAATTACAGTTATTTGAAACACCTGTCGGTGATAGCTTATGGTAAGCAGAATAATTTGCAGTCGAATATTTTGCACGGCATTTTCAACAGTCTAATATATTGTAAATGTCGAGTCTCAGGTGAAAGAGGGTCTAACACTCAGAGTTTTCGCGTACCTTGCAGATATTAGTCTCGATGATTAGAAACGATAGACTTACACGATTTTATTTGTTTTCCCATATGCGCCTTTTCATGTGTATATATTAAGTAGGCATTTTCTGACGACGGACTTCATCTCCTCTTTTTAGAAACCAGAGCAATTTATGAGAATGTTAAGACGAATTTCAGGGTGAGTTTATGTACCAGAATCAATCCACACAATCCCTATAACAAAAGTCAGTCTAATTACCGTGCATTATTGATCGCCACATCTCATGTCGTATTGAATAATGTCGTGTTGGTGTTTAGAGCCAAGTAGATGAGATGTTCACTTCTAATGAATAACTGAACACAGTGTGTAGCGAAAATTTCATCAATCATTATTAAAGTTAGATGGGAAGCTTCAGCTTCTTTCGGATTGATTGTTGTGGCAGTTGTTTGGTGTGATGCTCTTTACATAGCTGCCTAATACACGTCTTGTCCATGTTTGAATGCATGAAGGATATGATCCAGCGTATCGACTGGAGCACAATCGATTTGAGTAATTCAGTCATCTGAGACTGAAAATGTCGAAAATTAGTGGTTGATTCACTTGATGAAACGTTTTCCATTCCTTCAGTATCGTCCTCGATTCTCTTAAAACTGCCAATTCATTCATGATTTTCTCAACTTTTCTTCTATTTCTGAAGGATGCATACCACAGACTGACAGGATATTTACTACCGTAATCCGTGTGATGTGAACAAATGAATTCAACTATCATCATGCATCATTTGAAGACAACGTGGTTCTTCTTTTCTCTTTTACCTGATTAGACTTTAGTACTGATATGTAGTCGTAGATTTAGTCTTAGTTGTAGTCTTAGTAGTTGTGATAATTGTAAAAATAGTAATAAAAGTGATAATAATAATAATATTTTGACATCACTTTGACTTCTCCCTACAAACTTCAATAATGGTGGTGTGTGTTTGTGTGTAAAATGTCATGGTCATATTAGAGATGAAGTGATGGGAAAATTCACCTGTGACTGTATTATTCCTTGCATTATAACTTACTCCTATCTTACAATCATTTCTCATTGTTAGTTTGAACAGAGGAATAACAAGCACATTTGCAGGATAATACGACTTCGCTTAGTTTCGTGGATTCTCTCCAAATGTGAACATACTCAACTAAATCAGATTACAATTTACCAAATGTTTGAACACACAGTTGTCATGGTGACTTGGAGTTGTAGACAGAAGGTTTCGACAACACAATTCCGAGAATGATGTGAGTAGACAAATTATTCAGTGTTAAAAGACTCACTGTTTGCAGTAGAATTAAAGAGGCTGCATCGATGCATATTATGAATGAATAATAGAGTCAAATTATGACAGACAAATTTTTAAGTGAGTTCCGAAAATTACTAGTGAGTTCAAATTAGAGAGCGAAAATCGAAATGAGGCGGTATGTTCCGAGACAGAGGAGAACTCAAAACACACGAACAAATTCGTATAAATACAAATACTTGCATCATTAAAACCAGAGAACTCAATTTATTCAAATAAATAAAGTCAAAAAGACTGGAAAAGGCTTATAATGGCAGTTTGTCGATAAAAATATGAATACGGGAAGTATGGAGAGATAAATGAGACAGAAAGTTAAAGTGTTGATTGTGATTGTTTTCGTCGTTTCATTTACTGATCCTATTGTACACAGTGGTGAGCAAAGCAGTTGGATACTGTGATCAGGGCTTCTGGTGTTGATTACTAAGTAAATAATTTGTCTACTCATAAGAGACGTATTTCAGCTCTACTTCTTAGGTTACAAGAAAGATGGTTGATGACCGAAAATTTCTAGCTTGGTTTAATTTGACGTCTACTAATAACTAAGTGACACATAACCGCACTGTTTATGCATCTAGTTGCCACTTAACTCAAATATGCTGGTACAGGTTCACGTATGAGCTACTTCATTTTCGGTGACTTGGAAGAGTTCTATAAATTGTTATTATTTGTGAAAATAGTACGCCAAGCTGATGGATATGATTATCACTGTATGGGAATTTCAGTGCATTTGTTCATTATTATTACTATTCCTTTTGGTTCCAACTGGAACATAGGGATTAAACAGCACATCTATACCATACTCTGTTCTCGGTGGTCTTTTTCAGCTGTCCACACTAGGCGGATAGTCTCTCATTTCTTCCCTAAACAGTCTCCTTCATCTCACACTCAGGTCTTCAGTGAACTCGTCGTTTCTCATTGTGGTTCCACCCGAGTACTGAACTTGTGCACGATGTCACTGGACAGTTTACTGAACGTCTATCACATTCGTTTAAATTTGCTCAGGAATATTTGTTAAGCAGAAGCTTACTGGTTCGGTTGTTCCAACGGAGTTTCTTGCTCCTAATTCTTTCTGGGAATCACAGAAGGCAGCTGTTGGTAAAATTCTGAAGTCGGTTGAAAGCGATACATTCTCACACATGTAGGACAATTGACTTTTCAATTGTGCTTAAAATCCAAATTTTCTTCTTCATACTGTGGAGTGCAGAAGATTTCCGAACTGATTTCAAAGCGATGAAGTTCCACTCTGCCTTTCTGGTGTTGGTTTTGACATCATCATTTGTTACTCTTCTAGTTCCAACGATACTTTTTAAAGAAGTGATGGAAGTAAACACTTTCCATTTCATTCCACTCATAATGATTAGTGGTTTTTATTGTCAGTTGTTTATCTTCATCACCAACATTTTCTCTGTGTTCAGCTGAAGTCCAATCTTCACTGCCTGCTCCTTCTTCCACAAGTTTTTTAGTTTACACCTGTTAGTCTTCAAGTTCGTGCTACATTTTCGGATTATGGGATTTTGCGGGATTTAATTCAGTTCTATCTCCGCTGAAAACCTGGTTATCTGATACAGTGTTCTGAAGTCTCTTTCGCCTGAGGCTTGTCTCTTGTTCTTCAGTTGCAGGCCAGTGTTTTGCGGTATAGCGATTTGTCTTTCCATTTACTCTTCTTCGTTTCTTTATTTAGCGCAATGTACATTTAAATCAGCTTCTCCTGCTGCTTTCCATCTCTG